TATCACAGGTTTTCCACCTAGGGGCTGAAAAGAGCTTCGAAAGATTCATGAATGTTTTTGTCGGAACTATATTGTGTTAATTGCGTTTCACAGAGAGATTGCTACCCTAATCAAACATGTTTTATTGTTCTTGCTGCTGTTATTTATGAAAACTGAAAATTACCAAAGTATTTAAAAACGTTGCAAAACCCATTTTATTTGCTTGTTTTGAATTTCGCGCAAAGCTACACGAGGGCTATCTGCGCTAGCCGTCCCTAATTTAGCAGTGTAAAACTAGAGGGACGGCAGCTACTCATCACCACTCACCGCCAACTCTCGGGCTACTCTTTTACCAACGAATAGTGGGATTGACCATCACATTATAACGACCCCACGGCTGAAAGGGCGAGCATGTTTGGTGTGAAGGGGATTCGAACCCCCGACCCACAGATTGCGAGTCGAGCACCCTAACCACCTGGCCAAACCTATTTTACATTATGCCTTTAAGCCAAGTAGAAAAATACACGCCAACGCTAGCATACACTTTATTCAGTCTCCTGTAAACCTGGAAAGGTTGGCTGGTTAGACCATGGTAATGTGAAATGATTTAAAATTATTCAACTTGAATTTCAAGTATCGCTTACTTTGGATAGCATTACCAATATATATAGGACAGAACATTAAACTGAAATATTTTTTTATGAATACTAACGAGAATAAATTATGCTGTAGGCAGTAATAAATATTTGTTTGTTTGAAGTGAAACACACAAAGCTATATAATGGGCAATCTGTGCTCTACCCACCACGGGTATCGAAACCCGGTTTCTAGCGTTGAAGTCCGCGGGTATACCGCTGTGCCACTGAGGGGAGGTAAAAAAACGATGCACTGAAGAAACTTTTATGGAGATTTTTTTTGCAAGCGAGTGGTTAGAAAACTAAATGTTACTTAAATATGTGTCCATAAAGTTGTTTAAAATAAAAACAAGTAATTTTTGCAACATGAATTTTATAACATATGTCTAAATGTTCTTGTTAGCAGGTAAGTCAGCGGTAAGTTTATGGACTATAACGCTAAAATTCGGGGTTTGATTCCCCGCGGTGGACAGAGTGCAGATAGCTCCTTGTGTAGTTTTGCGCTGAAACAAACAAATACAAAATTCTTTTTCATGATCAACATAAAAAAGTTTTAAGTGCGAAACTATACTATTTTTTTCTAGAAAAATATAAGGAACCAGGCTGATAAATTTATAACTTACATAGATTTAATAGATAAGCTATGAATTAAAAAAGAATAGTTAACATTTTTCCATCTTAGATAAACTGCTAAATAAAATTTTGTAGAGCATTTTCAGTCTTTTTTTTCTTCTTCTTCCTGTTATTCCATTCAAGAAAGAATAACATACACCTCTCTACAAACACTTCCAAAGTTAAAGAATGTCAATCATTAACCTTAGTGTTAAGAAACAATCCCTTTTTTATCTATATATTGATACGACTCAACGTATGAAATTATGAAAATGTCATGAAATCCACTTCCCTATTTAATTCGTTTACAAATCCTCGTTTACCAAACAAATATAAAAGAAACTATCTAAATTGAACAAAACAGTCCTGTTCTAAAGCAACATCCTGGTGTAAAGCTATGATAAATAGTAAATAGCAACTTACAGGATCCGACGAACGCCAGGAACGCCACTACATTAAGGATCCTCATGATTATGAAGAACTATGCACTATAAAATCGTATTGTACAGGACAGCTATTTCTGACTTTCTTCGAGGATACTAAGTTCGCACTGAGTGTCAAGTTTCTTCACAGTTTCTTTTTGTATGTCTCCGCTGTGGCAACATCAGTCACGCATCGTGATTTCTCATTGGTCCTCGGACTTTATGATATAAAAAGCTGGAGTAATATCATTGGGCAACCAAGGAATTAAGCTGATAGTTGCTGCTTGAAATTCAGTGTGGATATATTGAATCTTGGGGAACAACTTATTAGGATTCTAAGCCTTCCCCTTGCTGGATGTTCCCACGGGCCACGTGAGCACGTGCTACGTGTTACTGCTGACCCAGATCCAATTGGTAGATGACGAGCTTAAGGTTGTATAACAGAACATGCCAAAACTAGGTTACTATCACATTGCTAGCAAACTAAAAGAAGCTTACTTACAGGTAGAATATTGTGTGCTGAATTATTGATAATAGGTTACAAGAACCAGAGGAGAAAAAAAAACACATTTATTCTAGCCTTGATTTATTTTGTTTTGTTCGTTTATGTCACAATGAACACTATATCATTTTAATAATTACAGACAAACTATAACTCAAGTGGCATAATATAAATACATAAATTGATTGTTTATTTGTTGTTAAGCATATATCAGCACAATGGGATATCTGTGCTGTGCCCACCACGCGTATCGAAACCAAGTTTGTAGCGTTATAAGCCTTCAGATTTACCGCTGAGCCACGGGGGTGGAACAGAAAATGGAATTACATTGTTAGAAACAATAGTGTATTAAAAATTAATATGACACCAAAAATGAGTATCTTTTCATTTTTTGTACGAGTTTAAATTTAAACTATATTTCGTTTTAGTCATTCATAAACGAGAATAAAGAACCCGTTTGGCTCCTCGCCTTTTTAGCTTTCTTTTATTTCTTGTCTTCTTTTTTTATCTTTTCACTGTCACTTTTGGACTTCCAGTCAATCACTAACTTTTGAAATACAGATAAATATTTCTACTCACAGATTTTCAGTCACTCCTTAGTTTTCAAAATGCAGGTTTTTTCCTTCCATTCTTAGTTTTCAGTCACTAAATTAACGAAACAATAAACAATAGTTTTGGAACAATATTATTACAAAACTAGGAACCAATTTTCGACACTTAGCTAACATACACGGTATTGTGTATTTTTTAGATTACCATGCTATTCACTCCTTATCTCCCCTCCCCTGATAACTAGTTATTCCTTCCACTCCCTGATTGTTATAATTTTTGTTTTTCAATTCCACGATTACTAGTCGGTAATCATTGTTGTTGTTTTTACTCCTGAATGTTAATCAACCATTCTACTTCCTGATTATTAGTCATTCTTTCCACTCCCTGATAAACAGTCATTCATTCTCATTCATGATCAGTAGACATTCCTTCTACTTCCATGATTATTAGTCATTCTTTCCACTCCCTGATAAACAGTCATTCATTCTCATTCATGATCAGTAGACATTCCTTCTACTTCCATGATTAATAATGGAAGGAAAGTCTAAGCAGTGACTAGTAATCAAGAAATCGAAGAACTGACTAATAGTTATGGAGTGGAAAGAGTGTCTAGTGATCATGGAGCCAAAGGAATTACTAGTAATCTGGAGGAAGAAGGAATGTCTAATAATCAGGGAGTAAAAGGAGCGACGAGTAGTCAAGAAATCGAAGAATTGACTAATAATTATGGAGTGGGAAGAATGTCTAGGTCTAAGCAGTGACTAGTAATCAGGGAATGGAAGGAATGTCTAAGCAGTGACTAGTAATCAGGGAATGGAAGGAATGTCTAAGCAGTGACTAGTAATCAGATTCCTTCCATTCCCTGATTGCTAGTCACTTCTTCAACTTCCTGACAACTAATCATTACTTATGCTCCTGATTATTGGTAATTCTTTCAATTTTCTGACTTTTAAACATTCCTTCCACTATCTGGTTATTAAAAATTCTTTCCACTCCTTGTGTATTATTTCTCTATTATTAGCCATGTCTTTCATTCTCTAATAGCCAGTCCTTCTCTCCAGAGCTGGGTGTAGCCTAGTGATTTGCGTGTTGGAGTGTGAATCTGCGGGTCCGGCGTTCGCATTCCCACCACACACACACACGAAAATCATGTTCCCAAACTTTGGGGTCATAGGTGCGTTATAAGGGTGATGGCTAAGTCCAAGTAATTGGTCAGACAAGAGTAGCTCAAAAGCTTTCGGTAGGTGCTGTTGATTAGATGCTTTCCCTCAAGTCTATCAGTTCAAAATTAGGGACGGTTAGCGTGAATATCTAAAAACAAACAAAAAACACCCCTTCTTTTCATTAAATACCAGTTATTCTTTTCAATCACTGATTATCAGTAATTCCTTTTAATACCTGTTTACAAGTTCTTTCTCTCTTCCTCAGATTTCTAATAACTCCCTCAGATTTCTAATAACTCCCTCAGATTTCTAATAACTCCCTCAGATTTCTAATAACTCCCTCAGATTTTCGAATACCAGGCACCTATTTATTTGGTACTCTTCCACTTTCATGTCATTCTTTTTCTCGCCTTTTCTCTCTCATATATATTTATATAAATGACTTATGATTTTCCATCGACATACATTAGTATGCAATTTTATAGGAAAACACATCCACAACTGATTTACACACACAAAATAATCATTGGTTTGCCATAGAAATTAACTTGTAATTGTAGTTCACATTTAGTGTGGCAACCTTATGTATCAATAACAGCTTGGCATGTATTTATTCAAAATCTCAAGGATATTTTTATCCGATTTTTCCTGAAGCTGTGTCCAAAGGTTTCTTTAGTACAGTTGGTACTTTTCCAAGCGTAAAATACAGTAAATCCCAAATCTGTTCTATGGGGTTAAAGCCAGGACTTCGTGACAGCTAGTTCATTTGTTGGAAATCTCCTGAACTTACTTTCTTTGTCAAATAAGCTCAACATTTCTTTCTTCGAGTAGTGTTTGGGGGTTATAATATTCTTAAAATATGAATTAGCTTCTTTCCATAGGTTATAGCATGATGGACTAATATACTGTGGTAACTTTGCTGATCCATGATTCCATCAATTTTGTGAAGACGGCTAATACCAACATCATAGACCCTCCAGCAGGCTTGACAGTTTATATAAAGTACTCCTTCTGCAACCTCTCATCGTCTCTTCGGCGAATTCATACGCGTTGCTTTGTACCTAGACTCTTTGTTCAAAGTTAGGCTCGTCTTTCCAAAGCATCACGTGTCACTTTGCAATATTCTCTTTATGCAATAATGGCTTTTTTGTTGTTAATCTTCTCGACTCTGCAGCCCCCCCAGTGGTACAGTGGTATGTCTGCGGACTTATACCACTAGAAACTGGGTTTCGATACCCGTGGTGGGGAGAGCCCAGATAGCCCTTTGTTTAGATTTGGGCTTAATAACAAACAACAACAATCGACTCTGCAGAGTTTTTTCAAACTGTGCCTCTTGAAGATTTCCCCCCGTCCCACCAAACATGCTCGCCCTTTCAGCCGTGGGGGCGTTATAAGTGACGGTCAATCCCACTATTCGTTGGTAAAAGAGTAGTCCAAGAGTTGGCGGTGGGTGGTGATGACTAGCTGCCTTCCCTCTAGTCTTACACTGCTAAATTAGGGACGGATAGCGCAGATAGCCCTCGTGTAGCTTTGCGCGAAATTCAAAAACAAACAAACAAAACAAAACAAACTTGTGGTGACATCAGTAATGTTTATCGCAGCTTTCCTTCATTGTTCCAGGGATTTGATTTTTAGATATTTAACATCTCTTTTGGTGAGTTTTTCCTCGGTCCCTGCCTTGCCTGATGTTATAGGACTATGTTTCCTTGTACATGTCCAATGTTTACTTCACAATGCTTGGTAAACAGCGAGATCTCCACCCAACATCGTTTAAAGATTTGACCCTAACAAAGCAAGTTAATTATCTCTGATTTGGCATCTTAATGGCAGCATCACATTATATTAGCTGTGTTGAATGATGTTTTTGAAATCAAGTCATCTGTTATAAACCTACATGCACCGGCATGAAAAACTCGTAATATAACAATTTCAAAGTTTCGTCAGTGATGACTGGTACAGAAACAAAAGACGTCATGTGGGACAATGCTACATCTCTTTGTACTTACATTAGTCATCCTGAATAAACTTTAATTAATCTACTGCATTTAATGATCTGTGGTTATGTGTTACTTTTCTGTTAAACGTTTAAGTATAGTATATTAATTTCATGAATAAAGTTAGAAAATGAATAACTTGCTTCATTTGATGCTTTAAACTACGAGAGTTGTTTGTTATTAAGCACAAAGCTACACAAAGGGCTATCTGTGCTCTGCCCACCACGAATATCGAAACCCGGTTTTTAGTAGTGTAAATCCGCACACACACACACACACCACTGTACCACTGAGGGGCTCAAACTACAAGAGCAATAGAGCATTCTAACAAATTTTCACACTACTGTATATCCTACAGCCTTTTCTTACTTTATTTTCTTCTATCGCTACATCTGCTTTTTGTTTTTAAGCTTTCGACCAGTGTGTTGGATCTGGAAACGTTATGTTCATCCAATCCAATTTTCCAATCCTCTTCCACTTACTTGTGGCTTTTTTATGTCTTTCAAATGAGTAACCAAAAATTAGAGCCAAAAAAAATTAATGTTTGGAAAGTGAATTCATAATAACACCTGAAGGGCAGATATAGGTATGTATTATTTTTGACCTAAAAGATATGAAACTGATAAGCACAGGATCGTTAAGAATAAAAAGTAAAAGATTGTTTTTGTTCGTTTGGAATTAAGCACAAAGCTACACAATGGGCTATCTGTGCTCTACCAACCACGGGTATCGAAACCCGGATTCTAGCGTTGTAAGTCCGCAGACATACCGTTGTGCCAATGGGGTCCAAAGAGTGGTAGTAAGATTTGGAATGTTGTGGATTTTAACCACCAAAGCCTTGGCTTCCATTTAAGTTTCCTGGCTAGTTGTCTCATTCTTCATCTGCTTTTTCGGAGCATCTCTGATAAACTGGACATCTCGAACGCTTTTAGAAACTATTGTCGCAGACATTTTCCTTTTAAAATTATTATTTTTTTTTTTTTAAAGAAT